TGTGTCCAGAAAATGTGGGAAAACCAAGAAGACATCTGCTGATTTGCTTTCATCATTGACCACTGGGTGGGGGGGGGGGGGGGGGGGGGGGATAAGAGGGGCTGGAACCAATCCAAGCAGTCATTGGGTGAGGGCAGGGTACACCCTACACACTCATCACTAGGGCCACATATGGACACAACATTCACACTCACATTCACAACGAATTTAGAGTGAAGGGGGAGGGGGGGGGGGGGCACTGGACATAATAATTGAATGATAACAAGCCTCCAGTCACTAGGTGGCAGCAACTCATACAGTGGTTTGTACAGATAAAAATATACATGTTATCAGGTTCTCAATAGTATTTCAATTTGTGGGAGTGTGGGTCGGGGGTGACGGGGGAGGGGTGAAAACATTTCTGTCCCCAAGGGGGCGCATGACCGAAAATAATTAAGAACCACTGACCTAAATATAACAAAATCATTTTAATACCTTAATTTAAATAGGTGAAAAATGAGCAGAAAATATATTTATAGTTCATCAAAAACCGAATCCAAATATAAATATTATTCAGTTAGTTGACTACAGTTCACACCACAAAGTCTTGTCGTGTTTTGCCAACTCTTTTTACGTCTCATTACATTATTGCATTTATTTTTGGTGGTTCCATAGTGTAGTGTAGTTATCACAGCTGCCTTACACACAGAAGGTCCAGGGTTTGAGCCCCAGAAGAAACACGTTCTTAATGGTGCCTCCTGTGGCAGCCTGTGTGAGCTGCAGGGACTCACACTGAATTTCTCCATTGTGGGACAAATAAGGTATTCATATTTTATATTTTCTTTTATTTCAACTTGGAAAATAACACAAGTTACACTAACCTGAGGTATATCTGACAACACCGCTGCCGCTGAATAATTTTGAGACCAACAACAGCCTCGGGTTGGTGTTGTTTACCGCTGACAATTTTGGATATATATTTGTAATAAATATTTAATGCACCATCTTCTGATGACCTTCAGAATGTAACCATCCGTAAATTCCTGTCTGCTGTTGGGTGGCTGTGTGTTCAGAGAATAAATGCAGACGTACAGATGTAGAGTTATGGCTTTTGGTCCTGTAAAATGGAGCTGAACAGAACAGTGGTGCCAGCTGGTTGAGCATCGGGTGAAAACACATAACAATAAAATTGATTTCAGGGTGAATCTAAACATAGACCATCTGTACTTGGTAGGAAACTTTGAAATGACAGTTTGAACGACTTTGCTACGGTTATCACAGCCCGACGCGACCTTAGCAGAAAACTGTGCCATTAACCCTGATGCGGCCTTGCGGGCATGTTGTCTGCAGAAAACAACAGGCGAACAACGGAGAACAAAAGAGTGAGAGGCACAGGTCTCTGTGTGTGTGTGTGCTGTCGTCAGGCAGAGAGGGGATTGCAGAGGCATTTCTGCCAAGGGGATTAAGAACCAGCTGCTGGATGGACGTGGATGAGTAGCATCCATCAACCGTCACCACGGAGCAGCTAACACCCAGAGTAACAAGTCCAACCCTGATGTATTCTGCTCTAACTTGTTGCTGTCTTTTGTTTTGTTTTTGGATCAGTCCACTCATCTCGTCCTCTCTCTGGCCTCGTGCCTGTGACTGAGAGCCGGCCTTGACGTTCACAGCCAGCTTCACTCTAATAATCTAACAACATGCTTTTTCCCCCATCCCGGCTCGCTGCTGTCTGTGGAGAGAAAATAATGAAAAGATATGTACACAAAAGTTCAGCTCTTGGAATTGATGCAGAGAGAAGAGCTGACGTTCTGCAAATTGGATGTGATGAGAATACACTCCCGTGCTCTGTCGTGCTCTGTGTGGATGCAGACGCGTCTATTACAGTGGCAGAAAGAAGAAGCATCAAAAACACAACCTGATAGCTCATACTTGAGAGAGCAAATACGTGAGGGGTTTTTGTTGGATTGTTAAAAGTATTCTTGGGGTTTTTTTTATGGACTGGAGTGCATTTCAAGCATTAAGATTGGTGGTTGATGGGTGGATGGCCCCGAGGAAAGATGATAAATAATAACAGTCTGTGCAAGGGCTCCGTTTGAAATCCTAAAGAATTGAAAGCAAAACCAAAAGGACAATTAAATGAGTCTGATACGACATTTCATATTGGTTACTGTGCTACAAATATAATATATTTAAGATATGGAAAGGTATTTTGGCACTAAGTGCTACAAATATAATTTATTTAAGATATGGAAAGGTATTTTGGCTAAAAGGCCAAAATGAGCTTCAAATTCTGACTGGTGTACTGGTTCAGTATTGGTTGGATGTAAAAAGTTGGGCCATAAAATGTAAAAATAAATATACAAAAAAAACCTTATCCTTCAAAAAATATTTGGCACATTTGACGTCTGTCACTTTCTAGTGGCATCAACTGAAATTACAGTCAATTTATTGAAATGCATGAAAGAATTAGAAAAAGATTAGAAAGTCCAGCTGACCGTATCTGGCCCACGGGCTGTAGTTTGCCCATGTCTGTGTAAGAAGAAAACAACATAAAAAGATAAAATAATAGACAAAAAGACAAATCATTTACTAATTAGATCTTATGATTTTTTTTTTTTACTGCTTTCGTCTGCAGATCAAAAAGAGAGACCAAAATGGAGGGTGGCGGAGGACACAAACCTGGAAGGTACATTTAAATCCACATAATAGAAAGTGAATTAAAAACACTAATGACTTCCATCTAAAAACCCTAACCTTTTCTCTGTTTTTCTGTTTTGCAGTCCAATTTACAAAAGGAGTCCAGACATGACGAAATCCTCTATGACTAAATCTGAGCAGCTGCTGAGGATAGAGGACCACGATTTCACCATGAGACCCGCATTTGGAGGTTAGAAAATACAAATGAAATACGAAATGAAGTGGCCTGAAGGCTGAGAGGTCGGGGTGAATAACACATGGGTTTCATGCCCGGGGCAGTGAATGGCCTGATTCAGTCCTTTTTGCAGCCTAAGGCTGAAAAGTCATAAAAACAATAACTTTAAAAAAAAAATTATAACCTTATCTGCAGGACAGCTTCACGGCAGGGGAGTGTTCTATTCACCTTTCACCTGCATTACCTAGCTGTCCCACAAGGGGGCAAAGTCTGCTATATTTTCTCACAATAGGATACGTTCTTGCCTTGTCTAAACCAGAGGTACTCAACAGATGGACTGCGGTTCGGATACAGACGCAAACAAAATTCAACTCAGACCGACAAATTCTGAGTGCTGTGCACAAGCTACGGCCGTCGGTAACCAAGTATGGTTTGTTACATCTCACTGTCATTCACTCCTCTAACAAACAAAATGAATTGGTTGAAAGACAGTTTCCAAAGGGACGCAAAAAAAAAATTCATTTTTGAGGTTCTGGATTTGGAACTTGACATCAGTTTTTCCAGGACCTTGCTCTGACATCTGAACATTTGGTAGTTGGAATATATCTGAGTCTAAACTGTAATCTACACAAGCAGAACCAGTGACTATGTTAAGGTCTGCATGGTCATTGCCAAAGGCAGAGCAAGACCTCAGCAGTGTTTGGAGCACTCAGCCCGTGGAGACCCTAATGACACCACCAGGACTGACTGCAGCACCGTTCTCTGCATCGCAGGAGAGTTTACACAACCGTTAAGTATCAATTCACAGGCATCAGAGTGGGATTTGAACAGCTGGATTATGCAGAGATAAAAGCAAAATGCTATTTTTATTTACTTGAGCGTCGCACCGCAATTTATAATTCTGCCCACTTTTCTGGTTTTTATCCCCGCCCGTCTTTCTTTATTTCAGAATTGTACCCACTGATTTGTGTGACCACTGTGATTGAAAGCTCAGTGCAAAAAGCAGCAGCGAGCGATGCACAGCAGAGTCTGTTATCTGTGTTTATGTTCGGCTGCCAAGTGTCTCTCAGCAGGAGAGCTGTGTCTCATCCACGGCTGCTTTTTGACTTTGATCATTTTGGCAGAATATTGTGTGCACCAGCTGAAATTGCTCAAAAGTACAAGCACGGCCTGGCAAACACAGTCCTGGCCCAGGGCTTGGTTCTGGATTTATATGATTAACTGCTGTTTTTTTTATTTTTTAAAGTTTAATGATTTTTTTTCACTCTTTGCTGCAGTTCAATACAACGGAGCATATAAGGACATTTTTATAAATACCTTATGAGAGTGTTTTTTCTTGGCAGGTCCACCGATTCCTGTTGGAGTGGATGTTCAGGTAGAAAGTCTGGATACCATTTCTGAAGTGGATATGGTAAGTTCTAGTTAGATAAAAGTCAACAAGATAAAGAATTGTTGAAAAAGAAAAATATTGCTGGCCAGAAAATTTTTCTACTGATACATCATTAGTAGCGTTCATCTGGCCACACCAGAAAGTACCAGCAACATGAAACAATACTGTTTGCTCCACCACTTTGATTTTTCATATATTTTAGGCTCACGAGGATCAAATGTCAAATGAAAGAAAAAGATGAAATGAACAATTAAAAATAACTTTTAAAAAAAGATCCTATTTTTTTCTTCAGTTAATTTCCCATTTTTTTTAGGATAAAATCAAAACTTGCTGCAATAACAGATTTCCATTCTAGTTTGGTTAAAAACTGCATGTTTGATCAGATTTCAGAATTGTTCAATTTTTAGGATAGGAAAAAAAATCCTGATCAAATCAAATAATCTTTATAAAGGAGTGACCATAAGAAGTCATTTAAAATTATACCGTCTGTCTAGGAACATTTTGTACTTAATACGACTATTACACATGAATACTTCGACTGTGAATACTCGAGTGTGTACCCCCGCACCACTGTGACACACTCAGTGCTTTTCCTGTCCTGCAGGACTTCACTATGACACTCTACCTGCGTCACTACTGGAAGGATGAACGACTGGCGTTCCCCAGCACCAACAACCAGAGCATGACCTTCGACAGTCGCCTGGTGAAGAAGATCTGGGTTCCTGACATGTTCTTCGTCCACTCCAAGCGCTCCTTCATTCACGACACCACCACAGACAACGTCATGCTGAGGGTGTACCCCGATGGCAACGTCCTGTACAGCCTCAGGTGACCACACGAGCCCACAGGTCTTTTTTTATTAGCCCTTCAAAACAGGTTTAATATCGAGTCGGAGATAAAGAGACGACACTTGGAACCATCACGTAGCCGACACATAAGAAGATGAAGGTCAGAAATAATTTGCACCGGTGCTTTTTCACAGCAGGCAGACGGTCCAGTAATAATCTTTGAACAGTGCTAGGGTAATTGTAATCAGTGGCGCATACAAATGTGAGAGAGCTAATCAGAGGAGAAACATAACAAGCCAGTCAGATAGGTGGCCAATTCAACCTTTGTGTATTCAAGGCTATAATTTTTATTCACAAAGACGGTGTTAGATTGGGCCTTCTGACAGGAACGTTGTGACAAAAGAAAATGGAAGAAAGCAACAATCTGCATAAAAGATGCGGGTACTTTTATAGATGTGTCCAAATGAGAAATGACACAAAAGATAAGGTCACCTGACTGTCAGGTCAGGGAGCTGTTGACAGGTTTAACAGTTAGCTTCTTTTTATTCATTTCCTCTTTCATTTTCTTGTTTTTCTAGTCATTCTACTTCTAATTCTGCACCTTTTTAATTTACTAATTCTTTTTGTTCTTCACTATATATTTACTTGTACTGTATTTTTTTACTAAGTACTGCCAGTACTCCTTTCATATGGTTTTGAAATATTTTTTATCAACCTGGCCTTTTTCTTCTTCTTCTTCCGTCTATTAGTTCATACTTAGCTTTGTCTAGATTCAAGCTAATTTTTTTTGAGAATTGCTTGCTCAAGTTATAGGTAATTTTTTTTGAGAATTGCTTGCTCAAGTTATAGCTAATTTTTTTTGAGAATTGCTTGCTCAAGTTATAGGTTTTTTTTTTTTTTATTGAAGCCTTTACCCATGTTTTAGCCGAGCGTTAGTTGTACCTTAGGGCTAACCGACCTATCATCATTTGCCTCTACTAAATACTGACACCTTTAACTTTAGCTCTTATTTCCTTTCTGACTTTCATCACTGCTGCTGCGTTCCTGCAGAGTCACAGTCACCGCCATGTGCAACATGGACCTGAGCCGCTTCCCTCTGGACACGCAGACCTGCTCTCTGGAGATTGAGAGCTGTGAGTAGTTTTTGACTAAAAATACTAATATTCAATAATAAATAATGAAGCTCTTAAATATCTTTATATCAAACAATAATGAGCATTTTGATATATTCTGTGTATAGCATTTAAATTTTTTTTTTTTTTCAAATACTATTATCTTTTGACATTTATTCAAAAGATAATAGTATTACTTACAGCGGCTGCCTTCATGCATTAGTTGTGTTTTTAAGAAACTTACTGTAGTACTTGTGCGTACTCTTCCACCAGATGCATACACGGACGACGACCTGATGTTGTACTGGAAGAAGGGAAATGAATCTCTGAACACTGACGACAGGATATCTCTGTCCCAGTTTCTCATCCAGAAGTTTCACACCACCACAAAGTTGGCTTTCTACAGCAGCACAGGTACAAACAGTTCAAACAAAACAAAAAGTTTCCTTAGTTTTTCATCACTTTTTGAAGTTCCTCACAGAACATTATTAATGCCCTTTAAACGTCACACAGAGAACAGCGGCTAATGTTTTATTCCTACTGTGATAAAAACAAAAATCACAGCAATCCATTTATTTACTGCAATAATCCCTGTATGAGAGCTTTGGACCATTTTCCAAACCACACGACACCTGGGGAACCGTAGGAGTGAAAATGACTGTGTCTCATTTTTCTTTGCCTGATAAACAAAGGTTTTCTGAGTTAAGTATTTCTCACCAGGCTCCAAGTGACAGTCGAACTGTAACAGTGACTCTGTTCCCACCCCGCAGGCTGGTACAATCGTTTGTACATCCACTTCACCCTGCGGCGGCACATCTTCTTTTTCCTGCTGCAGACCTATTTTCCTGCCACTCTGATGGTCATGCTGTCCTGGGTTTCCTTCTGGATCGACCGCAGAGCCGTCCCCGCCAGGGTGCCGCTAGGTGGGCTTTATGTTGTGTCTCAGAAGGGTGAAAGGAAACAGGAAACTGGAAAGAACCAAAGAAATTGTTTATTTATTGACATGAAATAGCCGTTCATTTCTGAGAAAATCATCAATATATAACGGTGACTTCTACCTGCTGTGTGATACCAGAGAGTTTAGGAAATTCTGTAGAAAACTGAAATGCTACCACTGGAATCATTTTATAAAAAGTTGGTTTTTTTGACCAAAGGTTAAAGAAAAAACAGCTGTTATTTAAAACAGACGACAGTTAAAGTAATCCAATAACTTTGGACGTATTAGCCAAAAGCAACTTGATTTTAAATGGTCTGGAAGTATCAGCCAAAAGCAACTTGATTTTAAATGGTTAGCTAGGTTGGCTAAATGCTAGTGGAAGAAATAGCCAAAAGAAGACCAACGTTAGCAAATTTAATAGCTAATGTTACACAAAAATTGTATACAGTTCTAAAGGTTAGAAATTAGTCAGAAGTAACTATCCAAATATTTTCACAATTTAACTTTTGTTTTCCGATTTAGGAGCTATTTAATATGGCTATATATTAGCAAAAATAAGGGCTAAAATGTTCTGTAGAACACTAGAAACTAGCGTCTAAAACCTTTCAAAATACTTATCGGACATTTTAGAGAATTTGCCTGGAAATAACTCAAATCCTTCTTTCATTAAAAACAATTCATTCTATCATCGTTTTCACCCTACAGTCCTGTGATACCTACTGTAGTACGAAGACACTGTTTTCTTTCCCTCCAGGCATCACCACAGTGCTGACCATGTCCACCATCATCACCGGGGTCAACGCCTCGATGCCGCGCGTCTCTTACATCAAGGCAGTGGACATTTACCTCTGGGTCAGTTTTGTCTTCGTCTTTCTGTCGGTGATAGAGTACGCCGCCGTCAACTATCTGTCTACGGTGCAAGAAAGGAAGGAGAGGAAGCTGAGAGAAAGAGTGAGTGGAAAGGGTTTTTTTTTTCATTTAATTTTCTTAAAGAAAAATGAACCAAGGGCGGATGTAGCCCTAAAGATTCAGGACATAAGACAGTTTGTTTGGGTTTTCTCACAGATCCATCAGTGGAGTCCATTGTGCACAGTACAGCAGAAATAGATTGTTCTTGGCCACCAGGGGGCTTTAAAAACAGTCAATAAAAAATGGTATCCACTAGTTCTTGCTCTCAAGGAGTGACTATTTTGGGAGTGAAAAATAATGGTGTTTTTTTCGCTGAGTCCTGCAGTGGAAGTCAACACACTTCAAGGTCACTGTTTCCAGTGCCTGGTACTATGCAGTAGTAGTGGCTGGAGTGAAGCAAAGCAAATATTTTTTCACATAAACATACTTTGGTTCTACAGCAAAACAAATAGAAATCAAAAGGTCAATCAGAGATTAGGTCGGAGACTATAGGATGTTATTTTTGCCATTCCAGCTCTCCTGCACTTTGCCGTTCCTTATCTGCCATGTGTCGCAGCATATGGCGGTAAATTGCCCACACGGACGCCTTAGGAACTTCTCTTCCGTAAACATCCTTACATAAACGCTGATCCTCTCAGACATCAGCAGCCCTGAGTGTCTCTTACTTTTGTCAGCTGCTTCCTGCACAAGTCACTAGAGCAGAACATGCGCCTCCATCTCAGCCTCCGTCTTCTGCTGTTAAACCGTACATCTTCATGTCTTTCTTTACAAAGGCCATGATCATAAATCTTCTCTTCATCTATCCCTGACACTCTCTGTACAATTTCATCCTTGGCCGCTCCGCTCTTTGTTCTAATCCTGTCCATGCTCCATCACGTCCAGTAGGCTTGATTGTGTTCTTTCGCCCACTAGCTGCCTTGCACCTGTGGCATCAGCAATCCAGACGAGATGATGGTCGACGGCCAGATCACCGGCTATGGCTCCATCGATATTGACAGCACGGGAAATTACGGGATTCCAGAAAACGGCGGACGTCAGGAGCAAATGCTGGCTCAAGTGGCTCTGAACAACCCGCAGATCACAGGGCAGGTGAAGCCGTCCAGAGGCTACGTGAACATTTGGATCGACACCCACGCTATTGACAAGTACTCCAGGGTTGTCTTTCCCGGTGCCTACGTCCTCTTCAACATCATCTACTGGTCCATCTACTCCTAACACGGGATGTGGAAGTGTAACGTTATGAATCATGCGAGACCAGGACTCCAGAAGCAATGATTAGTTGATGTTTGTCAGAAAAAAAACTTTAAAAGTTGATGAACTCTTTATGATCTCAGATTTTAACTGTAGTGGGAAGTAAATTGTTGTAGGTCAGGGCCGTAACGGCACACACTGAAGAGAATGTCATACATTGTTGGACACAGATTTTTTTCCTTGGCACAAAAACAGAACTTGACAATCAGAGAAAAAAAAAAGAATCAGAATTAGACAGTGAGGCTGATGGATTATCTACGGGTTTGTCTGTTTCACAGTACAAGAACCAGACCACACCATTTTGTTACATGCGGAAAGAATCGCATTCACACATGGACGTTTATGATGTTTAAGGGATTGTTCTCTGGTCTTTGAGAGGGAATTAGACTTTGGTATTTTAGCTGTTCAAATTCATCACATGGAAGTTGACGACTATTTCAAAACTATACAAGAAGTATTTAATGGTGTAAATTTGGTGACGATAATCCATAACCGACTGAAACTGAGAGAGATTTTAACAAAAATCTGATCTCATTAAAAACATATGGAATTCATTTTAAACCAATGAATTCTCAAAAATTACCTGAAAAAAACGATTTAAGATTTAAATACATGATTTAAATACATGATGAGTCTAAGTTGTGTTCAAATGTTCAACATTATGTCAGGTCCTGTAGAAGTGAATTTTTTTTTTTTTTTTTTTACAATACCAGATAGTAGAGACTCTGTTATGGTTTTGGGGCTGAATTTCAGCCATTGGACCAATCTATCAGGAGTCTATCATCTTCTGTCTTGACTGGTTTCATTTTTACATTTCAAAATGTGATCACATCAACACTGCAAATGCAAATGCAACAAAAATATAAAATACCTGAAAAATAATAGATACCGAGAGTTGCTCTTTG